AAATAAATAAAAAGCTGGAGCCAGCTCTCAGGTTCATTGGAAGCAGTCCGGTGCTCAGCAGTGCCAGGCACAGGGCTCCCAGCTTGGCCGAATCCTGACTCTGTCCACCTGTGCAAGCAGCAGAAGGTTCTGGAGGCCGGAAGTGCCAGAGGAGACGCAGGTGTCCAGCGTCTGGAGAGAGCCTTCTTGCTGCACCCTCATAGGGCTCAAGAGTGGACCGGGCAAAATGGAGAGGGACAAACGGCCCCCTTCACCTCCTGTGTGAGACCCAATCCCGCCTGGAAGGCCTTGTGCTCCTGTGTCCCCATCACCTCCCTCAGGCAGGTCTCTTATACAAGGGCACTTTAAAGTCTTTGGGGAATGAAATGAAAAGATGTTTATTTTGGTGTAATTTGTGTTTAAATCCATGCATAGTTTTTTCATAATCCACATTTTCTGTGAACTTTTTGAAGATTCTTACATGCGAAGAGTTTTTGCATCAAAATTAACTGATTTTTTTTTTTAGTTTTGCTTTTTTTCATAAACTTTTTGAAATAACCTTACATTATTACACTGGGAGTTAAGTTTTAACTGAGTTCTGGGGAGTACGTTAAGACTGTAGTGGATGGCAATGGTGATGCCTTTATAGGATGAAGGGAATATTCAGCACTCCCCTGTGTCAACAAACCTTAACTCTGTCTCAAAGACAGAGCCCCCAGATTTGTCCTTTATTTTACTGTTAGTAAAATAAAGTCACTGTTATAATACATGGGCACTTTGTTAATGGTGCAGCTCTATTAATAGTTTAGAACCTCATCATTAATGAGTTTGGAGATGATCTGCACAACTCTCCATAGGATGTTTGAAAATATTCTGATAACTTTTCAGCCCTCAGTGAGTTTTCCTGGCAGAGCAGCTTCACTTATTTTTTCAGAAGTTAATAAAGCTCCCTGGATGGTTTTGAACAGCATTGTCAGGCAGCTTTTTCAAATACGGCTTGTTGTCAGGGTTCTAATTGGATGACCAGACACTTTCCCAAATGCTTGGACTCTGACCACACACCATCAAAGAGACTACTTTTTGGAGAAAGAAAAAGGCACCAGTGTTTTGTTTATTTCAGATAATGGCTAACTGGATAACAGTTGGTCATTATTTGGTCAAAAACAAATACACAAACAAAAATCCTCCTGCTCATCTTGTATTAGTCCTGGGCTATCTCTATACAAAGTGCTGGAGAGGGACCCCAGGATGTAATTCTTGTACCACAATGAGGTCAGCAGCGCTGTTTGCTGGCCGAGGCCAAGCCCAGTGGGCCAAATACTTATTTGCACTAAAGGACATAAGCCACTGCCTTACATATTGCATTCGTAAGTTGTTTCCAGAGCCTTCTGTTTGCCAACAAACAGAAAGTCAAGGAAGGGAAGAGAAGGAAGACATTTATTTTGCCCTGAGGGACCCGAAGGCTGTGCGGGAGCACTCTGCCATCTTCCCCTGAAAGGCGCCCTCTCCCACATCTGAGCAACTCCATGGATGCTGTGAGACCAAATATTACTGAAGGCTTTGGAGTGGCCACGCAACTGAACTTGATCCGATTTCCTGTTCACCGATGTGTTATTAATGTGGCTTTGAACTCAGCTGGCAAGATGTGCAAATGCACCATCTGGCAAAAGGACCGCTTCTGAGACCAACAGCGTTTTCCGTGAGAGTCAGAGAATTAAGCAATTACAGATCTCGGAACCGTGGATGGAGACTGAGGGAAATATGTTCTATAAATATCACTGTAACTACTCAAAGCTGCTCGGGTCTTCCTGTGCCCCTGTGCAGCTCCTCTCGAGCACTAGGAAAATCTGGATTTGAAAGCAGAGGACTTTTTTTGGCTTTCTTCCTTATTTGTTGAATTTCAGCTGCCCCTGAAAATTTGCTCAGATTCTTCATAAGCTCTGTGGCATCTGAGCGTGGAAGGATTTTTTTTTTTTAATACATCAATCTTTAGTTCACAGAAAGCTGGAATGTTACCAGAGGAAGAGCCACATTTGTTAGCTTCTGCTTGCTCTACCCTACTTAGTCTATTTTCCAAATAGGAATGTATGCACAGAGCAACAGCATAGATTTTTGAGATCTTATTGATGTAAAAGATAAGAAGCCCCTTCTCTGCAGTTTTCAGAACTCGTAGAAGATGGCAAGGTCCCACCAGCATGTACTGGATATTACTGTGGATCAGAGTTGCTCTCTACATTCTACATTTGCCTCCAGTCTTCAGACGAATCCTCAGAGTTGATAATATTATTGTCTGTGATGGAACCATAGGAAGGAAAAATAATTTGCCAGAAATTATGCAGCGAATGAATTATGTAGAGCTTGTGTCTCTACGTATTAATCATTTTGAATTCCATATTCATTATTCCACAACCTGCTGGTCCCCCAAAGAGCACTTGAGGATTGGAGTTCCTGACTGTTGATAGCCACCCATTCATTCATTGTTCTGTTCATAGTCAGGTTCTAAGTGCTGTGTGAGGCATTTGTAAAGATAAATAGTGTGAATGCCACCCAAGCCTGCACTGAAACATTTCTAACTTAAGTTGGAAGACACAGATGGAGCCAGACAGACACATGCATACTTCATACCATCCAAACGCTAATCACTACAGTAAAGAGTGTGGTGGGCAGACATGTGGGGATCTCAGATGAAGGAAAAAACTATTACTTTGATATAGAAGAATCACATGATGTGTGCAGTCCCTGACAACGAAGAACAGGGTTTTATCTGCCTGGGTTCCCGAGCCCACTGGAAAATACAGCATCTGGAGAAAAACCACAGGCCCTGCCAGGGTGTTGATCTTCACAATTGCAAATCTTGCATTCTTATGTGGACTCCCTCCCAGATCCTAATACCAATTTAATGAGATGACTTAGTCTAGAGGCAGGGTGTGGCTGTTCAGGCGTCCTCAACACTGAAGCAGTGATAAAGGTGACAGAGGATCTGCTGGTCCAGTTAGAATGGAGCAGAGTATTGTCTGCTGCTATTGCTTAAGGGTTGCCCCAGTGTCATTTGTCCAATGTATGTCTCCCTTGTGTGTCTTCCGGTCAGCTGGGAGTCCGTGGCCCAGCCTCGCTGCCCTGGAAGGCTCTCTGTCACTCTGTGGCCATGGCTGTACTTGGCCCTGGCTGTGGGTTAGGCTCACATCTGTGCTGTGTGTATGCAACTCTTGCGTCCGTGCTGAAGAGGTGCACGCTTCCAGGGAGTCTTTTTTGACCTTAGCAACAGAGCAAATGCTTCCAAGACCCTGCTTCAGTTACATCTGCTGAGGTCCCAACTGCCCTAGCCAATCACATGGCTGAGCACAAAGTAGGGGGTGGGTGGAGGGGAAGATATTATAATGTCTGCTTATTAATACATAGGAATGGATATTTCTGAAGAATAATCTACCGTGTATACAATGGAGGAGAGGTAAAGAGAAATTTAAAAAGAGGTAAAAAGAAATTTACAAATTTTTAATTTTTAAAATTTAAAAATTTTAAAGACAGTTGATCTAGAAAGGAGCAAATGATTGACACACCCAAATAAAACTGTGCAAAATGTCAGCTTCAGACTAAACACAGGAAACAGCAAAACACTTCAGAAAGATCATTAGCACAACCCGAAAGATTCTTGTATGGAATACATTGGAGTAGGCAGAAACCGGGGAGGGATTTCTAAGCTATCGTAAGTACCTCAGATGGGGAGGTGACAACTGGGAAAGAAAGCAGATGAGGGTGTGAGCTACATTTCTGAGACACACACAGTCCCTGTGGGACCTCGCCATACGTAGGGTGCTGCAGCGCAGGCAGGAGTCCAAGGTAAGGGATCCATGTGGCCCATGAGAAAATGCAGGAGGAAAATCAGACGTTTAGTTGGGAGGAGAGGGCCTGAAGCCTGGGTGAGGTGGGGAACAGTGATGCTTGGACTGAAGAAGGAATGTCAGCAGGGGGAGGACTTAGGGGACAGAGAATGACAGAAAGTAACCGCAGCTGAGCAGGAGCCATCCTGCGGAGACCTAGGAAGCCATGAGGATGGGGCAGTGCAAGCAACCCGTCAACCTGACAGAGGCCGGAGCGTGAGAGTGGGGAAGGGGTGGGAATGGGACTTTAGATTGCAAGGCATCCTGGTGGGCTGCTGTGTGGAGGAGGCTGATTCCCAGTGGTGTGCATGCAGGGGTACCTGTGAGTGATGGACACCACCCCAGGAAGCTCTGAAAGTGACCACAACAAGGGAGTCTGGGGCGGGTGCAGGTGGAAGAAAGAATGTACCCCTGTTACTAGTTAAGGATTAGTATTATTGTGCTTCACCCACGTGTGGATTCAAAACCTTTTTGGAAATGTTCTCTGTTGTTACTTGTGAAATTGGTATCAAAAGTGAATGAGTCCCAGGTCCACAAGCACGTGTTCTCTGCTTGCTGCCCCTTTGGTCAAGCAAGCGTGCCTGTTGGCAACAGCAGAGGGGATGTGTGAGGTCTATTGTTAATGTGTTTGAAATTATTTGGAGCAATGCCCTGTTGGTGACAATAGCTAACTTTCTGTGCTCTTTTATAAAACAGAAATGAATGCCAGCCCTTACATTAGATAATTATAAGGACATATTTCTGAAGTAAATCAGTTTTTAAAATTTAAGATTATCATTTTCTACTGTGCCTCTGGAAGCATTGTGGTAATTCGTTTTTTTCCTATGGGGTTTCATATCCCTTTGAACGTCTCTTTAGGTTTTGGGTGTCATGTTCTCCACCACACACACATTTCTGTTTCTGGCCCAGTGCAGGGTTGCGTGTGTGCTGTGCCCAGTGTGGAAGCACCCTGGCACTGCTGGCAGGTGCCTGTGCTGACACTGGGTGTGTACACACATTTCCCAACTCCTGGTTGCTCAGCTGTGTATAGAAATCGTGCATACCAAGTGTAAGACTGTCTCGCACACTGTGGGACGAGGACCAGGCAAACTGTGCATGCATTTAATGCTGCCTTCCCCGTGTGTTTCCACCTGGCTCCAACAGAACTGTGACCTGGAACAGCAGAGCATTGTTCATGTTGTGCAGCGACCACAGAGAAAAGGTCCAGAGACCAACACGCCTGGAGGAGACAACCCCAGAAGGACCTCAGGAGGCTTCCAGAGGGAGCCAGCGAGCTTAACACGCGTGGACCTCAGCAGCGACATGCTGCCGGCAGTCTCCGTGGGGCTGGCTGTTATTCTGGATGCCAATGGCAGCAGGGGCTCAGCAGCAGCTGGAAGTCCAGGTAATCACAGAGTCTGCCCAAGACTTGGGGGTACTTAGTCCGTGGTAAGTTTTGGATTGGCGTGTACAAACCGTTTGGAGGCCTCATGAGAAGGCACTTGGAGACCAACGGTAGAGGAATGCGTTTAATAGAAGTGTAACAAACAGAGCCACCATAATGAAATGGAATATGAGGGATGTCAGGAGATGGATGGGAGGTGTCGGGACCATGATAATAGGATTTAGTTTTCTTGAAGTACATTTCGATTGATTATGTTTCTGTTGATGTAGAGAAGCTTTAAAAAGCAGGCAGAGAAAGTGAGAGGTCATTTTAGGTTGTGTGGGTTCTAAGGCCGTAGTTTGTGATATCGGTGAAAGCCTTTCTCTGAAGGAGTCCTTCCTGTCTCTGCTCTAACCTGCTTTACAGTGCTTTTCTTTGGTAATGAAGGGAGCTATTCCTGTTATTTTGACAATATTGATATGTTGCCCTACTCTTTTATTCTCCAAGCCAAATTGTCAAAAGAACACCAAGATTAATTTTGACCATGAGTGCGTTTGACAGACTATACAAAATAGTAACAAAGACTTCATGGGGTAGAAGGTGATGTCCCTCCCATCTGCACTAGGTCAGGACATAGGCAGTCCTGGGCTAGTACGGGTTTCACAGGGCCAGGGAGATCTGGGACCAGCAGGACGAAAGCATAAAATAGAAGGAAATGCCTCCTACAAATAGTAGGGGTTGATGGGTCCAGTTTCTTGTCACCCAGACAGGAAAGAATTCAGTGGTGGGACACTCACCAACACCAGTTGGAGGAAAGGATCTGCTGGCGGAGCCACCGTCCACCCTTGAAGAGTGAGTGTGAGCTCAAGACGATGCTGTGCTCGAGGGGCTGAGGCAGATTCTTTGATGAGGTTTTCCCACCTTGGATTATACCATTTACAGAAGGGGGGCAGATTTTACCATATCCAGGGTGGGTCTCTGTTGGCGCAGGTGCGGTTGGGATAACATGGTCTACCTCATACTGAAGCTTCATTACCATCTCCAGCCTCCCACAGGGTGTCTGTGACCACTGGAAGGAAGCATAGACTTGTCAGTGTTCAAGATGGCCCCCCAATCTGGTTAAAACCTTTTTTGTTTGCCTGTGTAGTGCAAGGAGGTGATTGGGGTCTGGCTGCTTAATCATTGATGATCAGGGCCTGTTTCTTATCAACAGATGGTTGTGACAACATTAATGTCTGGCATGGGGCATCCACCCTAAGCCAGTTACTTATCTACCCTGCCTCACTAAGCCAGCCCTCCCTCTATCCTGCCCCCACTCCTAAAATCACTAAATTGAATTTAATCAATTTTTGAAATCATAGATGAACTTGCTCAAAACAACACAGAATTTCCAGGCACAAGTGAATGAGTAGAAATAACACAACTATCTTCAAATAGAAAAATGAATTAACCCAGAATTTAGGAACTTGAGCTGATGATGTTCTAGTGGTCTTGGTTAGGTTACAGAGAGGAGGGAGGTTCTGCTTCAGGTGTACTGGGCACCTAGGGTACTGAAAGAAGACCTGAGAAATGGAAATAATGTAGCAAATAGCAAAATGGGGAAAGTTAGATAAACAGAAATCTATGCAATACCTATGTAATCCAAGATAAGAAATGAATTTAATTATTGGATAGAGGCTGAAAACACATCTGATATTTCAAGCAAGGCACATGTGGGATGACTCCCAAGAGCCCACTTAGATGTCCTGGCATGGATGCCTCCTGAGAGAAGCAAACCTTACTAAAGGGCATTCATGATCCCAACACTGCAAATCAAGCAAGGAAAACCCCACCTTGAGCATATAGGAGGCCAGAATATGCTACCGCTAAATATCAAAATACATCATCCTGAAATAGGCCTTTGTAACATTAAGGATGGCTTTGAGATGAGTGCCTTGAGTAAGAGCAAACACAGGGGAATCTCTACAAAAGCAGAAAGTCACGTTTTGTCAGGGAGGATCACATCTGTGAAGGAGGGCTCCCTCTGCAAGGGTGTCTCAGGTCAGCCCAGGGAGAGGAGCTCTGAGTCCCTAGAGACTTCTCTTCAGAGAAGGCAATGCCCTAAACCTGCCCTACGCACTTGTTGGCTGTACTTTCTCAGCCACATCCCCATTAACTGGCTCCTCCCACACCCTTCTCTCTTTTGTCCTTTGCTAAAGATGGTACTGAAACCTGAATTCAAGGCCACCTCTTTGATATTTACTCATTTTACCTGAATACCTTCCATAATTACATGAGTTAAATGTGTTAATAAACTTCTGTTTTGTTGTGGTTAGTCTGACTTCTTTACCTGGAGTTCTAGATAAAAACTACCAGGGTTGGTGGGAAAATGTATCATTTTCTCCCCTACACATGAAAGTGAACATAAACTGGAAGCTTGGCTCCTTCAAATGTGGGAGAACAAAGCAACAATCTGAAATAGAAAACAAAACAAATATATTTAGTGCTAATTAAACCATAAAAGAAGCAATTGAAATCTGAAAGAGAAAACAGATATAACAGGAAAAGACAGAATTTTAGCAATTGGACTTAAAAAAACTTAAATGGATGATTAAAAAAAGAAAATTGGACAAAAATTGGCTAAAGAGAGAATTAGTGAATTGGAAGGTAGATGTGAAGGAATTGCCCAAAATATGACACAGAATAAGGAGTACAAGAGTTTAGTGGAACAGGAGTTGGCAGTAGAGGGTCTAGCATATATTCTTATTCTGATAGAAAGTCCATTATGGGAAGAAAAAGAATGGAGAGGGGAGAGAATTAACAAAATGAGGATTTTTCCATTATGTATAAATCCTCTTATTCAAGAGTGCACAGCACCAAGCAGGATTAATAAAAAAAATGCAGTTGATCTTGATCACAATAATTAAAAGTAAATTAACCACAAAAAGGAAGCACAACACCAGGGACAAAAACACAAAACTTAAAATCAAATGAAGAAATCCCTTATGTTGAAACAATAGTTTGAATGGTTCCTAATGTTTCCAGAGGCTGTCAGTTAGCCTTGATTGGATGTGCTGAGAGTAATGAATTGTAGTTCAGTGAGATGAAAATATGGATATTAAAACAAAGTTTGTTAAAGCACGTTCCAAGAGAAGAGTGGGCCAGACAAGAGAGAGTGTGGCTCCCTTTCCTCCTGGTTTGGATTTTTAGCCCTAAAGTTTCAGGGGTGTTGTGTTTGTGATGTGGCTGTGAAGTCTTTGGCTGACACCTGGGGGTTGCACACCTTTGGACTCTGCACACATGGTTTCTCAGTGTACATTTTGTCTCCCCTCTAGTAGGGTAGGGAAGAGAGAAACTTAATACTGATTACAGTGACTGTATAATGAACAAGGCCCCTCCACTGTCTAATGGGGTGTTATTGCACAGGTGCCATAAACTAGAATTTTCTGGCTTGACTGAGTTCCCTTTTTATCAGGGTGCTTTAACAAGTTGTGCTGCAAAGTGGGCAGTCTTGAGTGGGCATGGGTAGAGAGCAGGGTTCTTGCTCCCACAACTGGAGGAGGGTCTTGTAACCCTTCCCCCCATAGTTTAGGTCTAAGTTTCTGCTTGACATGAACATAAATAAAAGAAGGAAAATGGTGGTGGCATAATATCAAACTGCCAAGGGGAGCATTTTTTGAGTTAAAATTCTATGCTCAACAAAACTATTGTTCAATAGTGATAGGATCACAGAGTTAATTCTTCCTCTGATGAAAGAACCGTTAGTTACCTTATTTATTGTCTGGAAAAAAAGAGTTTGAACCCAAGGTAAAGAATTGGAATGCAAGGGATGTGCTCAGCAAATAAAAGATTGAATGTGTTTCAGTTTAAATGAGTATGCATGTAAATAATGATCTTGGTTAGTCTGATGTGTTCAAAAACAGGGTAGAACCAAAGTAGGAAGTAAAGATCGAATTCAGAAGAAAACCACAGTGAGCAGTTGACATGGGTATGCTCAGGGTTTCACCAGTGATCAGAGAAATGTTCAGATAATACCTGATCAGTGTACCACTACACCGTGGGCCCAAACGCAACAGTCTGACAAGTCCAAGTGTGGGTTAGGCTGTGGGACAACAGGTGCCTCTAGATGCTGTGGTGCAGACATTGACTGCTTCAGTACAGTAGACGACAGTTGTACAACTTCACAATTAGTGGAATTCAAGTGTTGCACATTCTACAACTTGGAGTACACAAGGAGGCACGTTCACACATGATCATATCAGCATCCTTTGAGGTTATGAAAAAGCATAAACAACACAACTGTCTTTAGATAGGGGACTAGATAACCAGCACTTAATTCTTGTAGCAAGTTAACTGAGAAGTCTGATAGTTCCATATTTAAAACAAGTGACCTAGATATAAATATATATATATATCAACACTAACAAATCTTGAAATCACTGTGTTTATTTTTTAAAAGGATTATTGAGTAAGATACTGTCTATGTAGAATTTCAATATATAAAACCCCAATTATATACATTGTTCAAGGATAGAACAACCATATAATATATTCTATCCAAGTGGGATATGATTGAGAGTTAAAGGTGACATTAAAATATATTTAACCTCTATCTTACATATTGAAGTGTCTATTTATTGACTGAAAAATTAGATTTATTATAATAGACCTATATACTAGTTTTAAATTATTTTCAAAAATAAAATTTGGGGCCGGTGCTGTGGTGTAGTGGGTAATGCCACTGCCTGCAGTGCCAGCATCCCATATGAGCACTGGCTCGAGTCCTGGCTGCTCCACTTCTAATCCAGATCTCTGCTATGGCCTGGGAAAACAATAGAAGATGGCTGAGGTCTTTGGGCTCCTGCACCTGCATGGGAAGACCCAGAGGAAGCTCTTGGCTCCTGGCTCCTGGCTCCTGGCTTCGGATTGGTGCAGCTCTAGCCATTGCAGCCAATTGGGGAGTGAACCAGCGGCTAGAAGGCCTCTCTCTCTTTCTCTCTCTCTGCCTCTCCTTCTCTCTCTGTGTAACTCTGACTTTCAAA